GTCTCCACATTTAAGACTAGACTTAAGACTTTCCTCTTTGATAAAGCTTATAGTTAGGGCTGGCTCAGGCTTGCCTTGTACCAGCCCCTAGTTAGGCTGACTTAGGCCTAGTCTGCCAGGGGACCCCCTATAATACACCGGGCACCTTCTCTCCTTCTCTCTTTCTCTCTCTCATGTCCTGTTACTGCATCTTGCTAACTCGGCCGTACTGCATGTCACTATCTCGGCTTCTTCTCCAGAGCCTTTGTGCGCCACTGTCTCGCAGGTTAACTTATATCGCAGCGGTGCCTGGATGGTGTGATGTGTGTGGTTGTGCTGCTGCCGTGGTCCTGCCAGATGCCTCCTGCTGCTGCTGTTATTATTAGTCACACTTCTACTGTTATTATACACATATGATTATTGTCACATATGTATACTATCTGATATTAATATATACTTTCAACATATTGTACCACAATAGCCAGAATTATAACTATAACATTATTACTTTCATTTATGTTGTTGGAAGCTATTGTGATTACTGTCTGTCCTGCATCTCTCTCTGTCTGTGTCTCCCTGTCTCTCCTTCTGTCTCATTGTGTCATACGGATTATTGTTAATTTACCATGTTGATCTGTTCTGTACGACATCTATTGCACATCTGTCCGTCCTGGAAGAGGGATCCCTCCTCAGTTGCTCTTCCTGAGGTTTCTACCGTTTTTTTCCCCCCGTTAAAAGTTTTTTTTTGGGGAGTTTTTCCTTATCCGCTGTGAGGGTCCTAAGGACAGAGGAATGTCATATGCTGTAAAGCCCTGTGAGGCAAATTGTGATTTGTGATATTGGGCTTTATAAATAAAATTGATTGATTGATTGATTGATTGATAAACACAGACACTCTCAACAAAATGGGGCCAATTTAATGACCAATCAAAGTTTCGGACTCTGTGTGCAAACATTATTGATACAATGTTAGGTCATACTTATTTTTAGAAACAAAAACTGACTCAGTGCGCAAGGCATTAAGTGTTGTCTTTTCCTAGTGTTAAAGGCTGTATCACATTGAAGTAATGTAATTTTCTGAACTTACCAGACTCTTCTAGCTGTCTGTTATTTTCCTTTATCCACTTCGTCATTATATCCACATTACTGGCGATCATCAAAAAATTACACTGTGTTAATATTTTGTGAATTGCTGCAATATCGATATTGAGGTATTTTGTCAGAAATAATTTGATTTTTGATTTGCTTTGTATCGCTCAGCCTTATTTCCTGCTGACTTTGGTAATGCACTGACTTGACATCTGGCACTACAACATAGTCAAGTAAAGTTACTGTGATTGGGTTTAGGAGAAGAAACATGGTGAGGATGTACCTTAAAGTGAATCAAAGTTCACTCAAAGTTCAAACGGTTCTGAACACATCTCCTGGGGGAAAGTCATGTGTTTTGTGACCCATGCACCATGTCAAGCTGCCTCCGCTTCCTTCTTTACTCCTGTCAGTGTATTGGTCATGTGATTGCAGCCTTCCAGAATACAGGGATTGTGCATATATTACTCGCTCAGCATTACGAGGGATATATATGAATTTTAGTGCATTACTTTATGTAGGAAAATGTGTGAACAGTGCATGAGAACAGCCTGAAAACCACCAACAGGTCAAAGTTGTTGCTTATCCAGTAAAATATTCCAATATCTACCAGGTCTTTGGTACAAATTGTTGTACCAACTTTCACATCGTGTCTCTTAACCAGGACTACAATCTTTCTCTAACAATGACAAAGTAGTTCAGTTGCCTCACCCTTATCAAACCTTAACCTTAGCTCTTTCATTTTAAAAAGTTACATCATACATATTTTTAAGTACTATTTTTTGATAATTTTATTGTCATTTCTGTCTATTGTTTATTTATGTATCTTGTCTATGCACCAAAACAATAAAGCAAATTCCTAGTGTATGAAAGCCACATTGGCAAAATGTAAGACGCAGAGGTGTTAGAGCAGAAAACAGTAATATGGGTCATGTTGGAAGGTGATTACAGATGACTCATTTTGTCGTCAAGGTTGGAGTCCTTGTTGGTCAAGACTGTGGTGCATAGAACTCTGGGTATTTCTTTTTATCCAGTGAGACTACTATAAGCATCTTAATAGTAGTTTGGTGCCACCTGACTATATGGCAGCATTCTCAACTGTCAAAATGAAACAAACCTAAGATTTTTTGATAAACAGCTGTAAAATGGAATTTCTATTAAACGACTCTGACATTTCATGACTCTATTGTGTACACAGATTTTAGGACACAAAGACCTGACATCTCCTACACAACGATATATTGACAGCAAGGTGGTACGAACACAAACAGAGGGAGAGTGGCTGTCCTTTGACGTGACAGAGGCAGTGAGCGAATGGCTGAACCACAGAGGTTAGTGCATATTCCTCCCATCATTGCAGCATATTTCTCACCATTGATTGCATGTGTTACATTGTTCCATCACCTTGTTGTGACTTTTGTTTCTTCACAGACAGAAACAGTGGATTCAAGATCAGCCTGCATTGCCCCTGCTGCACGTTTGTACCATCAAATAACTACATTATTCCCAACAAGAGTGAGGAGCTGGAGGCACGGTTTGCAGGTTATTTGATTCAGAAAATTGTTGAGGCATGTTGAAGGATAAGTTTGGTGTTATTCTGTATTATATTGATGTCAACAAATGAAAGCTTGAAAAGACCAAAACCAACACGGTGTTAGTTACTGTAACTTAGGTCTGTCTGACCGTCATGTACTAATGTCACTCACGTGATGTATAAAGGTCATCTTATATACTGATTTTAACCCAAAACATAATTGTTTCTCAAAACCCAAAGTAGTTTGTTGCTTAAACCTGACAACAACCTAGATTAGATTAGATTAGATTGTATTTTATTTGATAGGGACGATGCAATTAAGGATGGTTCTAATACAGATTATGGGACTGATATGTTGCACAGAGTTTATAGCTATTGCTTTGCTTTGCTTTTACATGTAGACCTAAAATGTTATTAAAAAGACAACTTAAACCAATGTGTCACCAGTTTCATCAAAGAGACAGTTGTATGTCACAAACAGACATTGAATGGTGTGTTTCACAGACATGCCAAAGGCTGCCTTCAGTTATTATCACAGGCTTAATGCACAAGAAAGCAGTGGTATATGGCAACATGGGATGAAAATGAGTCAGAGCAGCAGGAGAAGTGAAAACTCATCCAACAATGGAGATGTGTGGTGGGTTAGGTTTTTGGTTTTCACTTACACTAAAGGAAGTGTGTTGTTTTCACTCATAGACCTTAATCACTGAACTGGATTGACAAGCAGTTTCCACTGAGTTCACCATAGAAACAGAGCCCACATCCCCACTTCTCATTTGACCCAGCCAAATAGCCAGACACTGCTTTGCTCCAACATCTCATTTTTGACATTTTTAATTATTGTAGATTCAGTCTGGGTACTTAAAGGGATACATTGCCTCTTTTAACCCTTTGGGCCCTAGGCCTTTTTTGGGGTATTTTTACTGCCTTTACTTTTAAGCTCATATCACAGTCATTTTAAAAGCTACATACACATGCTATATCTTGTTTTGTTTTGTTTTTTTCAGGACAATCTGGGCTAACCAGATTTGCCATCATTCCATGTCCTTTTATGAGCCTGTATTTTATATTAATTTTTATATCAATGAAAAAAACAAATCCGTGTTACTAAATTCTTTCATTTTTACATGTATCTCACCATAGCAAGTTGGAAGTTGACATATTCTGCCATATATGAAGAGGGGAGACTCTCTGGAATCTGCCAATATAAGAACCATGATGGTGGGACATTCTGTCACTTCACAGTTGTCCAAAAACATGATTGCCAGTATTTTTTTAATTATTGCAAGAAATTCCATTGACTCATTCACAAGTCAAAAATGTGTTTTATCTGAAAGAAACATGCAATATTTGCATTTAAGATAATAGAAAAATAGTCAATCAAGTGCAATGATGTGCTCCAAGATAACCTTTGCCACTTTGTTTGCAGTAAAAAAAAATGATTCTGGATGTTTTCTTGTCGACATGATTTTGACTTACTTCTCTGTGCTCCGTGCTGCTCTTTGACCTGACCTGAATGTTTATTTGTTGTTATTTTTCAGTTTCAGCTATATATTGGGGGGACATTTTGGGCATTGGGGGGGGGGGCTACTGCCCTGTCACGCATGCATAATTAGGCTACAGTTTTCTGGGTGCACAAAGGTGAAGTGCGCTGGTCTTGTCATACAAAGTTTGATGGAGTGTCAACTGGACAATATGGAGATATTTGCATCTTGAAAGCCAGACTACAAATATGGATAGATAGGGAGAAACACACGCAAGCCTAAGACGTGGTAAGATATGATATTCCTCACTATATGAAGTGATTGATAGCAAGATCTGTATAATGGATTGTAAAGAAATTCGTCAAGTTTTTATTTTGTAGACAATTGATCTGGATTTATAGCGTGATGGGATGACAGCACAATGATGTGTGTGGTATCACTGGAAAGCTCTGGTCCTGCGCTTTCATGTGATATGCGTGGCATTTCTGTGCACCCCTGCATTTACAAGTAATCCATCCAAGAGTAATGTGTGTGCAAAGCTGTATGAAAGCTTTGTTATACATAATTTTAGTGTAACTTTATCATTTTTTTTCGTTGTGAAAACATTGGACTACCGACAAGTGCTTGGTCTTGTCGGAAAGCTGTTCCACTGTTTCATGTGATATGAGTGGCTTCTCGCTATGATGAACGGTCGCAGAGAAAATCCATAGAAAAGTACAGGTGTGAATTTGGACGCACTATGCGTTGTTCGGGCCCATAGGGTTAACCAGCTTTGTATCATAACAATGTGGGTACTCTGTGTAAATGAACTGTGGTAAACTTCCCTCATCTTATCAGCACCAAGATTTCCGTGCTCATCTTCCAGCTAAATTCTGCTGGAAGACAGCAAACATCCAGGGTTTACTCTGGCCCTAGGACTGTTGCTTAAACTACAGATTGTACTTTCACTTCTTTAAGGCCCACCACCATGGACACAAAGAGTATAGAAGTGGACTGAGTGAGAGACCTGCCCCTGAGTCTGTCAAACTCAGACTGAACAGTAAAACTAGGAAGTGCTGATCAAACATAAATCAAGATTCTGTTACCTGTTGCGGTTAGTCTCTATACTTAGTGAGCTATAAAGGGTGATTGGATTAAATCTAATGTTTTTATCCTCTGATTAACACAATTACTTCCATACAGTGAGACACATTTCATTCACCTCATTTATGCTTCCAGGTATCGATGACAGCTTCATTCACAGTGGTGACCTAAAGGTGTTTAAGAAGCGGCGACACAGCACTCGGGCTCCACACCTTCTCCTCATGCTGCTGCCTTCATACCGGCTGGAGTCCCAGTCCCAGTCCCAGCACCCGAACCATCGGTCCAAGAGAGCCCTGGACGCTGCCTACTGCTCTAGGTACAAACCTGCAATCTACATTCTTACTCTCATGACACACATATCAGAAGAGATTCTCTCTGCTGTGAATTCTCTTTATACATGTTGACCTTTGACCTCCCTCAGGTGTCAGAAAGCATGACAAAATCCAAGTATTCCGAGCTGAGCTGTTAGTAGTTGTTCTTTTTCAGTGATAAGCGGCAAAATGTGTCCACGTGACTGTAGTGGGTGATGTTTGGCCCCAGTTGCAGCACACAGAGAATCAGGGACAGTTTTTAATGTTGTTTACTGTCACAGTTCAGCAGGTACAGAGCAGGGCAAGTTAATAGCATACAGTTCAGTTCAACACTCCAGCAATGTCTCTCCACAAAGTCCTTGATAGCCTGGCTGGTTTGGTAGGCCGAATCAGGCCGAGAGGCAGGCGAGTAAGCAGGGGTGGCAGCCCAACAACAAACACAGTTCAGCTCAATAACAGGCAACAGTACTGTGTCGGAGCAGGCAGGAGACAGTCGTGGAGGCAAAAAAGTTGGAACCAGTCAAGTACACAGTCCAAACAGATGAATCAGAGGGGAGCAGTCAGAGGGTAGGACGAGGCCAGGCAGAGGGTCTAGAAGGCAGCAGGTAAGTACTCCCAGGACACACAAAGGCAAGTGTGGCACACACAGGTAAGCAAACTGGAACACTCACATTGTAGTATCGTCGTTGGATAGTAGCTCCAAGCACCCACAGGCAAATGGGAACCAAGGATGTGGAAGCAGGTCTTGTGATCGGGACAGAAGGCAGAGGCGTTTACCAGAAATCAGACGAAGCAGGCAGGTCAGAGGCAGGCAGGGGCAACAACGGAAAATCAGTCCAGAATAAAGTGCTTGAGAGTCTTGCACGAGGAACAGGTGAATTGAGATGGCGTGATGATGTGGGTATGGTGAACAGGCAGGAGCAGGAAAAGTATAGATGTAGGAGTGGTATGGGCAGCATGAGTGGAAAATTACTGACTGAGGGCTGAATGACTGCTCATGCAGAAAAGGGCAGGTGTCCAGGAATGCAAAACTGTGACAGTAACAGTATTTGCATATCACCTCTATGGACAGCAAAATCCAGAGGCAGTAATTATGAGCTTTACTCTATGTTTCAGTTTTTTGGGTAGTGCTCTTTCAATTAAATTGACATCAAAAGGGGTGTTTCTGTAGGCATAAACTTCATAATGGGGAGCCAAGTAATGAAATTCCTCCATGTGTTAGCTCTTCAGGCAGAGTGAGGCAAGCTTCATTATAACTTTTGTAGACTACTGAGTAAAATCCAAGCAGCAGTATCTTCAGCTATGGCCTAGAGCTTTACTAGCTGACTTGAACTTAATGAGGCCATGGATGTATAAAGAGAGCTAGACACAGTATTATAAGTGGGGGCCAGTTCATTTCTATGAGAGTGGCTCGTGGTGCATGATGCTAAAAAAAGTTTGACTTCCTAGGTATAAAATTACAGACCTTTTTATTTTTTTTAAGATAGTTTTTGGGGCTTTTTGCCTTTGATTGATAAGACAGTATTAAGTGTGAAACGGGGAGGAAGAGAGGGGATGATATGCAGCAAAGGGCCACAGTCTAGAATCAAACCCATGGCTGCCGCTGCAAGGACATGGCCTTTGGACATGGGACGTCTGTTCTACCCACTGGGCTGCTGGGCGCTCAAAATTACAGATCTTCTCCATCAATGGGCCAATAGAGCATGTGCACTAGAAACTTCGCAGCTGACAAGTGGCTGACGTCCAGTTTAGCTCTCAGCTTTCTTGAATGGGGATGAAATGATTTAATTGTGCGGCTACCCTAGACTTAAAATGTCATTCAACTGGATGACTCAAATCCTGCAAGGGAAATAATTAATTTTACAGAGGTTGTGACACTCAGTGTGCCCACTGATTTACAGATGTCTCCTTCACAATGTTTGTGAATGGCAAAAAGTCTTATGGAGGCAGACCCAAAACTTGTAGTCACACAGTTTGGCCACTGTGTTAGATTGGCTTCAAAGTTAGTTTACCATATTTTTCCAAATAGTAGCCCGGGCATTTATTTCACAAAATCGATTTTGACCCCAGGCGTTTAAAAGAACCAGGCGGCTATTTGCTCAAGACTTTTTTTTTTTGTATCGACCTGCACCAGGCTGTTATTTGGTTACAGTTCCTGTCCAGTATGTTTTTTAGTGTAAAAATACTGTATAATGTAGGGGTGAGTTTGTGTACAAAAATCTCTAAACATTTAGAGTGGGTCATTTTTTCGTGTACACGTGTACAGGGGTTTCACCGCTGGGTGGTGCTATTGCATTATACCAGTACAGCCCCAGTTATCCGAATACCAACCGAACGGGCCATTTAACCAACAGTTACAGGCCGCCACACCGAAATATCGCCATTCCGACGGTCCGCCATCCCGAATTCTGGTCCCTGAGTCCTGACAGTAAGCTATGGCGAGCCTGTAGAAGCTGTATTCCCCATGCATGTCAGCGATTTTCACCGGGGACGCACGTGAGTAATTCAGGCATTGTCAGATAGGTGTTATTCATTCATTTAGGGCACGTATAGCTGCAGGAATGAAACTCTTGTTGAACTTGGCTTTTTTGCACAGAGGTAACCTGTAACCACGGCCGGAGGGGAGGGGAATGAAGTATTGGTGGAGTGGATAGTCAGGGTCCTGTGTGATCTAAGTGCTTTACTGGTTAGAGATGAGGTGACACTGTCAGATAGGTTAGGAGTAGTCAAGCCAATGATTTAGCTTGCCAGATGGGTTACTTTCAAGAGTTTGTTTCTATTAACAATTGTCAGCATGGGGAAGAAGTGCTGCGGTACAGGAGGAGGAGTTGGGGTTGAACAGACAGGTGTTGGAGTTTGCGTATAGCCGTGAGTCTCTGTTGGCAGCGTTTGTAAGTGTCCGTGGTGTGTTGATTGAAGCTCAGGTTATTGTCCAGTGTGATGCCGAGATATTTGGAAGACTCCACCTCCTCCACCTTCTCCCCGTGGATGAAGAGACTGGGGAGGGGGGCCAGGGTTTTGGGAGGGCTGTCACATATGTATACTATCAGATATTAATATATACTTTCAACATATTGTACCAAAATAGCCTGTAATATTAATTATAATATTATAACTTTAATTATTGTTGTTGTAAGCTACTGTCATTACCGTCTGTCCTGCATCTCTCTCTGTCTCTGTCTCTCTCTCTGTCTTCCTTTCTGTCTCATTGTGTCATACGGATTACTGTTAATTTACCATGTTGATCTGTTCTGTACGACATCTATTGCACGTCTGTCCGTCCTGGAAGAGGGATCCCTCCTCAATTGCTCTTCCTGAGGTTTCTACTGTATTTTTCCCCCGTTAAAGGGTTTTTTTGGGGGAGTTTTTCCTTATCCGCTGTGAGGGTCCTAAGGACAGAGGGATGTCGTATGCTGTAAAGCCCTGTGAGGTAAATTGTGATTTGTGATATTGGGCTTAATAAATAAAATTGATTGAAATGGAATTGATTGATAATCAGTTCTTTGGTTTTGGAGATGTTGAGATGGAGATAGTTATTGTCGCACCATGTGCTGAAATGGGAAATGGAATGTTGGTAGGCAGCGAAGGAGTCGTTATTGTTCAGCAATGCAAGAATGGCCGTGTCATCTGCATATTTAAAATAAAGTGTGGTGGGGGATGGACTCTGACAGTCATTCGTGTTAGAGGGTGTAGAGGAACGGGCTGAGCATGCACCCCTGCGGAGCAACAGTATTGAGCGTGATGGTGGAGGACAAGGACTGGTCGACCCTCACTGCCTGGGGTCTGTTGGAGAGGAACCTGTGGAGGGTCTAGCAGTGGGGACACATATGGCAGGATGATCATTTGAACCAATTTCTCAAAACATTTCATTATGACGGAGGTGAGACACACAGGCCTGTAGTGATTCGGCTCTGATGGGTGGGACTTCTTTGTAACAGGGATGATGGTTGATGTTTTCCATACCTGGAACTGTGGAGGTACAGAGGGATTGGATGAAGAGGGATTGGAGGACAGAGGTTAATTCCAGGGCGCAGCTTTTCAGAACCTGACCTGGAATGCCATCCAGCCCAGGAGCCTTGTTTGGTTTGCACTTGGTGAACTGGAGATGGACATCCCGCTCTGTCAGGAGGGTCTCGTAGTCCAACTTTTGGTGGGGCAAGAAGTCCAAAAGGCTGGCACGCTCTGCTGAAAAATCATATGTATCAAATCTGGTTATGGGGTCTGACGTGCAGGTGGTCTGCTTGGTGGCTTGTCCTGTGAGTGTTTTGACTCGCTGAAAGGCCTGTTTTGTGTTTGTATTTGCAAACTCCTGTTCCACTTTGAGTTTATAGTTTAACTTAGCCTTGATTATTATTTTTAATGTCCCGGTTAATAATCTTAAGTGCTGTGGAGTTCTGTTGTCTGAAGGCATCATTCTTCTTTTTGAACAGGTGTTGGATTTTTGGAGTGATCCAAGGTTTTGAATTGGGATAAGTTCTTATAGTCTTTACTGGTGTCAGGGTATCTATACAGAATTTGATGTAGCTTGTGATGACTGAAGTTTACTCATCCAGCTCTCCCTCAAAGACTTCCCAGTCGGTATATGCAAAGCAGCCTTGGAGACATGCAATGGCGTCCTCCGTCCACTGGAGGGCGCTGCGCTTCACTGGCCTGTGTTGTTTCAGCTGCTGCTTGTACACAAGAAGTAGATGGATCATGTTGTGGTCTGCCCGACCAAGCGGTGGGAGAGCTCTGGAGGTATATGCACCAGGGATGTTGCCATAACACAAGTCTGTGGTTTTGTTGATTCTGGTTGGTACATCCACGTATTGGTTGAAAGGCTGGTAGAGTCTGATCGAGTCGGCAGCTGTTGAAGTCCCTGAGGAGGAACACCGGAGCATCGGAGTACCTGCTAAGCATAGCGTGTGTGTTTTGCGCTATTTGCTCGGCTGTTGCCTTCACATTGGCGCTTGGTGGAACATATACACAACTAAACACAACAGTCGAGAACTCCCTAGGGAGTTAGAAAGCAACTCCAGGTCCAGGTTGCAGATCGTACTGTGTATCTTGATGTTAGTACACCAGCAAGAGTTGACAAACACACACACCTCCACCCGAACTTTTCCCGAGTGTCCAGTCCAGTGCTGTTCCTGGGAGCCTGGATGGTCTCAGCAACATATTGGGTTTTAGTTGGGCTTGGGCCATTTTGTTGTGTACAGCTTCAGGCTTGGTTAATGTGAAATGTAATTGACTATGATTTTTTCTTTTCTTCTCTGACTGTGCCAATTGTCTGTACTTATGAACCTCATTTTTACTGGATGAAATAATGCAAAAATGTCTCTGATGCCAAAGACCATCGTTGGACTGAGACAGTGGTTATTATCAGGGGTTACTACATCAATTTAAGTGGTGCCATTGTATTTTCTAGACTCAGTAATTAACTACAATAGAATAGAATTGATTATGTAATAGAATAGAATAGAATAGTATATAAAGAACTTTATTCATCCCGAAGGGAAATTCAGCTGTCCAGCAGCTCATAAAAGACAAAAAACAACAACCACATTTACCCATCAACAACAACACAGTGGTATTAAAATAGACAAAAAATAAAATAAGTTAAAATAAATGCACAAATAGAAATTATATTGAAATAAAATTGTCCATTCCACAGTCCAGCCAGTTTTGGCCACTTGTGTGTAAGTGTTTGTGACTGGATTCAGGAGGTGTTAAACAGTCTTATTGCCATGGGGACAAAGGATCTCCTGAAACACTCCGTTCTGTCACTCCAGGAGGCTGGAGAGGGTCTCTGCTATTGTCCATTGCAGCTTTCAGTTTGTTCAGTGTGTCCCTCTCCACCACAGTTCTTAGTGGGTCCAGTCTCGTGCCGAGCACTGAGCCAGCTTTTTTAACCAGCTTGTTTAATCACTTGGTGTTTTTGCTGCCTCCCCAGCACACTGCATGGCAGAAAAGTGTACTGGCCACTGCTGTGTGATAGAACATGGTCAACATCTCCAAACACACATCAAGGGACCTCAGTGTCTGCAGGAAGAACAGGCGGCTCTCCCTGCGGACACTGAGGTCCTTTGATGTGCATGGAGATGTTGAGGAAGACAGCTTGCAACTGTAATACACTGTTACTATTACAGAAGGTAATGATGACCACACCAACTATAAATGCAATAATGGAATAAAACTGGAAGTATCCTTTAAATAACAGGGCCAAAGTCTACTGATACCTGACTCTTCACCTGTCTAATCCTGTCTCCACTCCTCCATCTATAATAAACTATTCCTACTGCACCACAATTCACCTCTCCCCTTCATCTCTTTGTAGAAACGTTCAGGACAATTGCTGCTTACGGTCACTCTACATTGATTTTAAGAAGGATTTGGGCTGGAGGTGGATCCACGAGCCAAAGGGCTATGAGGCCAACTTCTGTGCCGGGGCCTGTCCGTATCTGTGGAGTGCCGACACCCAGCATTCCAAGGTACAGTAGGAGGGACAGGGTCAAAGATCAACAGCCTGTGAGATCAGAGTTCATAAGGTTCTACTTTACTTCAGGTCATATTTTGTTCATGGAATGGTTCTAATTCCTGTGTTTCAGGTGTTAGGCCTGTATAACACCATCAACCCTGAAGCATCAGCCTCACCCTGTTGCGTTTCCCAGGACTTGGAGCCCCTCACCATCCTCTACTACATTGGGAAGACCCCAAAAATAGAGCAGCTCTCCAACATGAAGGTTAAGTCCTGCAAGTGCAGCTAGAAGCCCTTACAAACCACCTCTCTCTCTCTCTCCCTGTCTCTCTCTCTCTCTCTCTCTCTCTCTATCTCTCTCTCTCTCTCTCCTTCCTTCAGACAAACACACATACGTATCCACACATACAGTGGATTTGGACAAACATGAAGTCAAACCGCAACTGTACTTTCTCTTCGATGCACCATTATATTCACAGCAGTCAGGAGTGGAGTGCTGGAGAAACGAGTTACAGACCAATTCAGTGCTAGTTCAGTGCATACTCAATATACAGGAGCAGTGCTGTCATGACACCAAAAACATGTCTTTGATACCAATGCTGAGTACCAGCAATATGGTGATACATACTTTTCATGAGGCTTAGGGGCCGTACACGTGCCACATCTTTAACCGCCTGGAAAATGTGAGGTTGGGTCCTCGGTGTTACTCTTGTGCCTATTCTGGCACACTGTCACGAGTGTGGAGGCAGGTTGCTAAACAAACATTACAAGTATCGTATCATAGCCTACTTAGCTAAAATTCTGAGTGAGGAGCTGATGTCCTTTCAGGCGCTGTTTATTAAGTGTGTTGGCCTAAAATATTGTCCATAGGTAGCCCTGCACTAAATTGGTCAACTTCTCAATATGTACCACAGACCGATCTTTGCGGAAGAAGGGAAAGATGCATGTCACGACACCGTTGCTGTGACGTTTGAATGCATCCACTGTGTGTCTACATCAAAAACAATGGATCAGAGGGCACAAAAAAATGCAGCATACATAGGCCCCCTAAAGAGTCTTCAGTCTGTTGTAGGGTTGTCCCATATATCATTGTTTAGGTACCAGAACTTAGGTAGTAATTGAGAGCAAAGCTTTGGCCAGCCGTGGGGGCTGGGGTGCATATTATTATCACAAGTGCTCATAATATTAGGTTCAGAATCGGAGACAACCCCTGAAAAGCGGCATGAAACAGAAGCACAAACACAGCAACAAATTTCAGATTTAGAACTTTAGGCATGTGATACTAATAGTTAGCCCTGTCACTGTGTGTGTGTGCGAGTGGACTTGCTGTTAGGAGAAGTTTGCCTTCAGGACTTTCTGTCAGAAAGGGATTTCCTCGTTAAGGTTAGGAAATAGTAGCCTAGGTTAAAATGAATACAACTTTGGAACCCATTGTCCTCCAGTCTGAAGATGAAAAGCCTCTTGGGGCAAGGGCCTATATTTTGGGATGATCTGGTGTAGCTAGTAGATATCTGAGATATCATTTTGTCTAATCCTTATAAACAGATATCTGCAAATGAATGCAATAAATTAAAAACAAAAAAGCTAATATAGAGCTAACTCACCATCAGACGATAGCTTATTGGTTCTGAGACTGCATTTTGGCCAATGTGTTCCACCTCTCCATTGGTCTGTTCACCTGTAGTTCAAACATGATCGGCCAATACTGCTTGGATTACAGACAGAAACATCAAAAACTGTGATGCAAGAATCTTTTCCTGTTGTCTACAGATCCTGCATACATCTGCAGATACTGTTTGTAGTTATTAAAATGAATAAAGCCCTAATGGCAAATTTCTCCTGTATGCAGCGGACTCTCACGATAAACGAAGAGAGAGCGGAGCAATTAGTTGCTGAGTGACTCAAGATGCTACAATAACAATTTTTTTTTTTTTTACATATTTTAGATAATTAAAAAAAAAGGAATCTCTATGCAAAACATTAAAATTAATGTATTGGAAACACTGAGGTTTACATTTATTCATAATTTCTTTATTGTCATTTATCCCCAAAAACTTGAAAATCAAATACAGAGTGGATCAGAAGAATAATTATCATGATAGTTGAATATTCAGAACCGGGGAGTTCCCCGGTGGCCTGGCCCGCAAGTGGTCTGCTCTGGCCTGCCTGTCTTTTTTTTTTTTTTTTTTTTTTTTATAAGGTGTGCTCTGCAGCGCAGGCTGCGCAGCGCAGGTGGCCGTGTCACAACGACTGGTCAAGAAGGGGTTTTTTTTTGTAGATTCAAGACGTGATTAGTTTGTCTCGCTTTCCGCCCGCGCCCGCCCCCAAATCAGCGTGCCTGTAAACTGAAAGCAGCTTGGTTGTGGAGAGTCAGGTGGAGCAGAGAGCAGAGGGTGTGTACGTGTGCCTGTGTGTGCAGACTGTGCAGTAGGAGCTCTGCAGCTCAGCAGCGCCATTACAGTGGACCGCAAAAAGAGGAAAGGTGGAGCTGAACGGGAGAGAGATAAAAAAAAAAGGGGGGCCATTGAGGAGGAGGCGACCAAATGTCATAAACTTACAGATATGTTCTGAGCCCCCCCTGCCCCCAGCAGCAGTGTGACATCATCAAATGACGATGCTGCAACAAGTAAGTTAACATAGAAAAGTAAGAAAACTGGTTATTCTCAACATGAGGTCCGGGGAGGATGGGGACTGCCCGAGGCCAGATAAATGATTGATGATAAGCTATAAGAGCCAAATTAACCCGTAAGGGTCCATTTGGTTCCATTTTGTACAGAGCTGAAACAGTTTGGGGACCCCTCTTAAGGATAGGCTCTTATCTGTCTAAGTTCAAAAGTTTTCAATATCTATCTAATCTTACTGAAATAAGATCAGATAAGTTGAAGTTGCTGCCGACTTATATTTTTACTTGTTTTACTGTTGCATTGAATATGGGTGTTGCCATATTGATTATGATAAGCTGACATCAAAATGATTTGCTGACAAAATAATACAATCATGTTGTTTAGTTCAGCATAATATCCATTCATATAGGAGTCCTGGTTTATTGAGGGGCACATTTGGTGAGGGCAGGGAAGAGAAAAGCACTGGACTGGAGGACTATGAGTAGGGTTGCTGTTACAGTTGTGTTTAATAGAGTTGTTGTGTGACTGTCAGTCTGGAATAATGAGCTTTGGTGATTACTTAGCCCATATGTGTGTCCGTGTGCACATGCAGGTGTGTGAGCATGTAATGTGTGGATTGGGTGGCCTAGGTGGATGTATGACTCCCGGCCTGAATTTTTGTCCCAGTCCGGCCCTGGGTCCAGCCCTGGTTTACTGTCATTACTAGCTGTCCAAGCATCAGGAGCTGTTGGCTATCCAATGGCACATGCTCTTTATATCTATTAAATCTTCTCCAGGAGTGCCAATGCAGTTATTTGGTGTCACACAAGTCTGAATGACTGACATTGTGTGAATGACATTGTTCTAATGTGACCAAGCAAACCAAACTAGGCATCAAAAAGTTAGAAAGCCTCCATATTTAATAACGTGCAGCTGAAAATCATGAAATAAAGCAGTAGAGATGTTAAAGGAGACGTCCGGTATTTTGTACTTTGTTTTAATGTAAAATGTCCTGTTAAATACACAATTCACAGTTCAGTTCACAATTCTTGTGAAATGACCAACCAAATTTAATGTTAGACTGCAGTACTAGTTGTTTTGGCCAAATCCCTGGTTATTATCAGCCTATTCCAGTGCACACATTTGCATTGACTAGAGGTAAATGTTTGTCAAATAATCTTAAGCAATGGTACCAAAGTCATGCCAAAACTGGATTGTTGTGACTCCACTGCACAGGACACACACAGTATATGCTACACATACATAAATACATGCACATTTTGAAGGCCCTGTCAACATGCATCACCTCACAATTGTCACACCATTAAGACCCAAGAGTAAGGCAAACACTGGAAATATAAGTGATAAGCGTCTATATGTGAAACAAGTCCTAAAAATAACAGCCTCACCTGCGACACCTACCCTCCACCCCCCACCCCACAGTTCCAGCAGTCACACCAACCACACCATGTCCTAATTTCTCTGTTTGTCTTTGTTTGGTTTCCTTTTTAGTTTTCTAAATCTTGCCCTTGTTATCCCAATAAAATGTTCATGGTTGTGGTGTAGCACCCTACAAATTTTGACCCAGGTAAAGATCTGGGTGGTGTCAACCACACACTGATGATATATCAGCCATCATAGGGAAAAAATACTTATGTCACATGGGGCTTACATAAAGGATAATTCCAGTTCATTAGAATGATGGTCTTATTTTTGCAGTTGGCTGTCATTTCCCTGTATTATCAGAAAGAGGTAAAACCTGAATTTGCTGCAGTTATGAAAATCTAATACCGTATCACAATGGCATCAAGTTCAGTTAAGCCAATCATATTTTAGGCTGTTCTCATGCACTCTGTATATTTTCCTATTAAAAGTAATGCAACAAAATCCATACATATACCACGTAATGATGAGCCAGTAATTCATACATAACCCACATACAGTACAGGCCAAAAGTTTGGACACACCTTCTCATTCAATGCGTTTTCTTTATTTTCATGACTATTTACATTGTAGATTCTCACTGAAGGCATCAAAACTATGAATGAACACATGTGGAGTTATGTACTTAACAAAAAAAGGTGAAATAACTGAAAACATGTTTTATATTCTAGTTTCTTCAAAATAGCCACCCTTTGCTCTGATTACTGCTTTGCACACTCTTGGCATTCTCTCCATGAGCTTCAAGAGGTAGTCACCTGAAATGGTTTTCCAACAGTCTTGAAGGAGTTCCCAGAGGTGTTTAGCACTTGTTGGCCCCTTTGCCTTCACTCTGCGGTCCAGCTCACCCCAAACCATCTCGATTGGGTTCAGGTCCGGTGACTGTGGAGGCCAGGTCATCTGCCGCAGCACTCCATCACTCTCCTTCTTGGTCAAATAGCCCTTACACAGCCTGGAGGTGTGTTTGGGGTCATTGTCCTGTTGAAAAATAAATGATCGTCCAACTAAACGCAAACCGGATGGGATGGCATGTCGCTGCAGGATGCTGTGGTAGCCATGCTGGTTCAGTGTGCCTTCAATTTTGAATAAATCCCCAACAGTGTCACCAGCAAAACACCCCCACACCATCACACCTCCTCCTCCATGCTTCACAGTGGGAACCAGGCATGTGGAATCCATCCGTTCACCTTTTCTGCGTCTCACAAAGACACGGCGGTTGGAACCAAAGATCTCAAATTTGGACTCATCAGACCAAAGCACAGATTTCCACTGGTCTAATGTCCATTCCTTGTGTTTCTTGGCCCAAACAAATCTCTTCTGCTTGTTGCCTCTCCTTAGCAGTGGTTTCCTAGCAGCTATTTGACCATGAAGGCCTGATTGGCGCAGTCTCCTCTTAACAGTTGTTCTAGAGATGGGTCTGCTGCTAGAACTCTGTGTGGCATTCATCTGGTCTCTGATCTGAGCTGCTGTTAACTTGCGATTTCTGAGGCTGGTGACTCGGATGAACTTATCCTCAGAAGCAGAGGTGACTCTTGGTCTTCCTTTCCTGGGTCGGTCCTCATGTGTGCCAGTTTCGTTGTAGCGCTTGATGGTTTTTGCGACTCCACTTGGGGACACATTTAAAGTTTTTGCAATTTTCCGGACTGACTGACCTTCATTTCTTAAAGTAATGATGGCCACTCGTTTTTCTTTAGTTAGCTGATTGGTTCTTGCCATAATATGAATTTTAACAGTTGTCCAATAGGGCTGTCGGCTGTGTATTAACCTGACTTCTGCACAACACAACTGATGGTCCCAACCCCATTGATAAAGCAAGAAATTCCACTAATTAACCCTGATAAGGCACACCTGTGAAGTGGAAACCATTTCAGGTGACTACCTCTTGAAGCTCATGGAGAGAATGCCAAGAGTGTGCAAAGCAGTAATCAGAGCAAAGGGTGGCTATTTTGAAGAAACTAGAATATAAAACATGTTTTCAGTTATTTCACCTTTTTTTGTTAAGTACATAACTCCACATGTGTTCATTCATAGTTTTGATGCCTTCAGTGAGAATCTACAATGTAAATAGTCATGAAAATAAAGAAAACGCATTGAATGAGAAGGTGTGTCCAAACTTTTGGCCTGTACTGTATTTTGGAAGGCTGTGATCACGTGACTGAGAGAAGTAAAGAAGGAAGTGGTCTGTGGTGGAAATTTTGTCTTCTTCATGCATATACTTATATTGTTTCATTTTTCCTATGTGTCTGTAAGTGTGTGACCGTTGCATTCCCCTTTTGTAAACATCTGTTGTTACCTGACATCAAGAGATTTACATTCACTATAATCTCGCCTTCAAAGACAGTTCATTGACTGTCTAACAGATACAGCCAATTACCTAAACAGGTATGTTTCTCTGATGTAATCAAGAGAACATAATTAAATCAGGAAAGCCGAAGAAAGCTACAATATTTTTCTCATCATCTTGTCGTCTGAGTGTAGGTATAAAGATGCCCTGTATTTACTGTTCTGGGCACGAACTCTGAGCTTTGAGCCTGAAGTTGTGCCTTCTCTATAGAGAATAAACTCTCGTGCATGAAGCTATTCAGTCTTGCTTGCTCACTCCCAAGCAGACCGGCCAAAAATTGCCACAACAGGTCCCAAGCAGCCCAGTTAGGGGGCAGGTTGGGGTGGTGGTAGGTCATAAAACTCGGGACTTTCCCAGGAGACCAGTGTTCAAAACCATGTGAACTTTGAGTGAACTTCGAGTCATTTTAAGGTATATCCTCACCATGTTTCTTTTCCTAAACCTAACCATGAGGATGAGGATATGTTGCACACCGCTGTGCCAGCAAAATTTCTCTCTTGGTAGTTGTAGTTTTTTTTTTTTTACAGCAAAAGATAATCACTGCTGAGCTTTGTTCAAATCACAAAGGCTTAGAATTCT